GCTTAGTTTAAACTTGTCGAGTTGCATAAGAAAAAAAAATGTGTTTCAAACTTAGAAAATAATTTTAAAAAAACTTATGAAAAAGTCGAAGATAACATTTTGGAGTTTTATGAAATCTTTTAGAATTTGTTTTGAAGTTAGAAACATACTTTTTCTATTTGAAACTCTGTCTGTTCGATTTAGTCACGATGAAAAAAGAAAAATAAATACTGTTTAAATTTTGTCTTGCAAGTATCTTAAATGAATTTTAAATACTAAAAATGAATTCATTGTCACAGTCAATGGACGTTATGCTCAGTTCAGATTTTAAATTTTGATTAATCATATTTGAACTTTGAAATTAATTTGTTTTATGAAATATAATTTTTTTAGTTAAGCTAAATACAAAACACAAAAAACAAAACAAAAAATCTCTATCAATACATATAAAACAAAGATTGTTTTTTTTTTCTTTCAAACAAAGAACTAAATTTATTTTTATTTTCAGTTTATGATTGCTATTTTTTTTCTCATTAATTTCGTCATATAATAATAATTTCGTTGTAAATAAATATATTCATCAAACATTGTTTGACATAAATGATCATCAATTGATTTGTTTAATTGAGATAATTTTTCAAATTTTTCTAATTCTTGTTTATATTTATTAAAAGCTATTTTTTCAAGTTTAGATTTAATTAATGATGTTTCAATTGATAATGGATAATCACGATATTCAAATTTAAGTTCATATAATCGATGAATATAACGAAAATGAATACATTGACGTAATGCATCATTTATTCGTTTTATTAATTTTCTATTTTCATCAATTTTAGACTAAAACGATAAAAACAAAGTCATGAAAAAAAAACCAATAAAAACAAAATCTTATTTACCTGTTCTTGTTCATCACAATGAGAAATTTCAAAGAATAATTCTTTATTCACTGATAGTTTTTCTAAAATAGAAAAAAATCTATGAGATTAAACAATTTCAAGAAATTATTTTACATCAAACTCTGTATGAAAAAAAAAACGCAGACAAAATTATGTTTCTAAAGGAACTTTTTTTTTCGTTTTCGTCTTTATGCATAGACCATAGTCAAATCATATAAAAAAAACGAATTTGTCGACTTGTTTTTGTTTGTTGAAGTATAAATTTCACAAATTGTTTCCTATTGTCGTTTTGGATCATGCAGAATAGATTAATGAAGAAATGAATATGTATATTCGAGCTAATGATGAAATATTGAGTTAACAATGTTTTTTAGAAACTTATGTACAGTAGTTAGTTTTTGATAAATATTTTTTCCATTAAGATGATCTGCCAAAGATATTTATCTCAATTCGAAAACTTGTCACTACCGTGATGGACATATCTATTATTCTCTTAAGTAAAATCTTCATATAATAAACTATAGTGTCGGTAATATATTACTTGGAATATTCGTATCTTAACAAAGAAATCGTTTGCGTGTTACAATCTTTATTTCCAGTAGATATGACATCGAAAAGAATTCTTCAATTTCGATATTCACTCGATTAATGTTCATTATGATAAAGAACGTTATTAATTTTCATTTTGAATATTCAAGTTAATAAATGAGTATTTATTTTTAAATGAAAACTTGACATTAAAACAAAATATTACCTTCTTCTACGATTGATAAAGTTGACTGAACAGGATATTTTGAGTTATTCAATCGATCTTCTGATACATCTTACAAAAATTCTTTATATCGAATGAACGACAAAGAAAATATTCTTTTCAACCTTATTTACTTGTAAGACCAAATGATTATGAAAAAGAAAATAAAAAGATTAATTTTCAATTAATTAATAAATTCTCTTATGTACCTTTAACACCGATTGATAATCATAAAAATTGGTCAAATTCAAATATTTTCCAAGAAACACCTCCTAATTTCGATCTTAATGATTATCATCTAAGTCAGTCGATTGAAATAAGTGAAAAAGTAAATTTAAAAATCGAATTCATTCATATATTGTTTATTCAATTTATATTTGTAAAGGATCCTGACGAACAGAATAACAAAAATTCCCTTATCGATTCTAAAATTAGTTCGTATTTTCTTGTTCTATTTAATTTCTATATATTCTTTTATTTAAAGATACATATGATGAACCATTACTTACAACATCAATCAATATTATTCCAAATGATTTACAAAATTCAGAAAATAATCAACCATGTAAATATATATATATATATATATATTCTTATGTGTAAATTCATGTTTTATTTATATTATAGTAACATTATAATCAATATCGATTACAAATAATTGAAGCATATCATCTATAAATAATAATAGTGTTTTATTATGACTAATCAAT